TTAGAAATGCAAAATAAAGCACAAGTAAACAGAAAGTCATCATTGTTTCACTTGCTTGCACCCAAATAAAGCAGAATGCTGCAAAACCAAGTATACCCAACAAATGTATCATCTACAAACCACCACAAGTCCAATATATCAAACACTATATACAAATTTAATGATGATTTAAAACAAATTATATACAAACTCAACTAATTAGGAAGCACCCAACTACATAGAGAAATCACATGTCTGCCCATTTATAAGTCATGTCATAAAATTTGGAATGGTCCAAGTGCTAACAAACATGCACTTATTATATAAGCAAATAAGAATTTGCACTGTGTCAAAAAATAGCTAGAGCCCAAAAAATGATCAGATAGCAGATCCATGGAAAGGACCAAATGGGATAGTAGGAAATGAGTAACAATGAGAAATTTATGTAAACATGTTTGTAAAAAAAATAGAAGACAACCACACCACTCACTTACTTCAAGAACCATACTCCACACCCACTATTGTGAACACAGTTTCCACAAGAATAATGTAGAACAAAAACCAAATCAGTAAACTAAAAAAAAAAAGGCCCATAAATGAACGTGCAAATGTATATACAAAATGACAAGGTTAAAGCGAAACTTTATTTGTATAAAAAAAATCCACTTTAATAAAATATCAAAATAACCCAAAAATCCAATTTTTTTTAATCTCCCAACATAAAATATGAGCAAAAAGAATAAAACTCCTTAGCATTAAGAATTACCATCTTGACTGATCAGTGTAAAAAAAAAAAGTGTCCGCGCAGCGTGGAGGACACCGTGTGCGGACACGAGCATCGTGTTCGCAATGCGCGGACACGATGTCCTCCGCGCTGCACGGACAAATTTTTTTTTTTTTTTTACAGTGCTACCAATAACATTTTCATTAAAGTTTCAACTAACATTTTGAGATACAAATTTGATTAAATAAGTCAATGAAATCTTCACAATCCATATAAAAAAGTGAATTAATTTATGTTATTGGAGAGTTACCATAAAAGCGAAACTAGATACAGCAGCCCATGAATTGGCAAGATTTGAGCCACCGAACTCGAGGTCTTCGAGGTGGCCGGCGAATATTACAGAAACCAAAGGTATAAAATAATAGGCAACATTGGTCAAAATCATTGGCGGTGCGAAGAGAATCTAATCTTTCGCCTCGTCCACATCAATAATCTTGCTCTACCACCTCTTCGTCGCATTGTGTTTAAGTAGAGGTTTTTTCACCGCTGAGCAAGGATTTGGGAATTCGGGTTTTCTCTTTCGGAGTAAGAGAAATTGCAGGTTGCGGCTGAGACTTTTAGGGCTACAGTGTATGGAAAATTTGAGAAGGTAGGGTGTTCTTTGATATGAATTTAGGGCAACTTTTAAAAAAAAAAATTGAATTATGTCGACAACGGGAAATCGTGACACGTGGCAGGATGAACAGTGCCAAGTTTTTGCCTCTTTTATATTGTAGTGACTATTCAAAATGGGTATCAATTTTCTATACCAACACATTGTAGTCTCATCTGAAGTGAAAAAATCGATCAAATTAATTGATAAATAAATAAATTTTTATTAACAAATATTCTTTTTACTAGCAAAGTTAATGTAAAGAGAGGAATTATTTTAATAAAAACATCTATTCATGGTCAAAATAATTAATTTTTTAAGTATGAATAAGTAATACAAAAAATGTATATAAAAATAAAATTTTAATTACTTTTAAATGTAGTCAAACATGTAGCATCTCTTACAGTTAAAATAAGTTTTTTATTTTTATTTTTAATTAATAAAAAGTATCTATTGCAAATTTTACTTATTTAATTATAAGTGAATTTTTTAAATTTAGTGAAACATGCATGAAATAAAATACCTAACGAGTTATTCGCATTGCATGAACGTGAAATAACTGAATATGTAATTGTTGTGAAGTTCTTAGTAACGTTAGGCTTGGACTTGGACTTGGACTTGGACTGGGATTGAGATTGAAGTTTAGGTTGAGGTTGGGTGGGCTAAATGGGTTTTTGGATGTAGAAATTACACAAAACTAGAATCTTCAAGATTCAACTTCAAATTTCAGATAAAAAGTTTCACTTTTCAAAAATCAGATATTTCATCCCAAACCCTAATCAATTTCATCTCAATCCAATTTTCTTCCTCCTCTCTCTCAGTCTCCTCTCTTCTCTTGGTCTCTTCTCTACCGTATTCTTTTCTCACTCTCTCTTCTCTCATCAATGTGGCTTCTTCTTCTGGCAGTGGGTGGTGGCGGTGGGTTTTGTGTTTGTGTTGGCGGTGGCGGTGGCGTGGCGGTCTCCTGATCGTAGATGTGAATTGAGGCTTCAGCCGATCTAAGAGCTGATATAAATAATCCTATAGAAAATAGTGAGATTAAAATGGCACATTAAGTTGAAGTGATGCTCGCGAAACCTGTGGGGGCGCTAGACAAACAGTAAATCCCTATTTTCTGGAGAGAGAAAGAGTGGATCGGAGAATTCGGTGGAGCAAAGAGTAACAGAAAGAGTAAACTGGAAATCAAGCAACCGACAGAAATGATCTCTTCTCACTCTCTCTTCCTCTTCACCAGCGGAAGCGGCATCTGGCGGCGAACCGAGCGTCATCGTGCACAATGCCAGATCGCCGCTGTCACGTGGATTGTCGAGTGCCGCTGTGGCTTTTTCTTCAGGCAATGAGTGGTGGTGGTGGGTTTGGTGTTTGTGTTGGCGATGGCGATGGCAGTGGCAGTGGCAGTGGTGGTGGCGTGGCGGTAGCTGTGCCTGTGATTGTGCTTGTAGCTATGGCGGCAGAGACATTCATATATGGTGGTTGTTGTGACTAATTAATTGGTGGTGGCGACTGTGATGGAGATGGTGGTGGCAGTGGATTAGTGGTGATTACGATGACTGTTGGTGGTAGTCGTGGTGATAACGATGGCAGCGATGATGGTAGGTTTGGGGATTTTTTTGGTTGGTGGTGAAGAGTGTAGATGGTGATTGTGGTGGTCGCGGCAGTGGTGGTGTTGACGATAATGATTTGAGGAGCCGGTGGTGGTGGTGGTGCTGGTACATGCAGCATTGATGGTTGTGCTACTGTTCACGGAGGTGGTGGCTTTGACGATAATGGATTTGAGGAGATGGTGGTATAGGCGGCATTGGTGGTTGTGCTACTGTTGGCGGAGGTGGTGGTCACAAATTGTTTTGTTGATTTGTTTGAGGTGGTATTGCTGTCGGGAGGTAGTGGTGATGGTGGTTCTGACGGCGATGGTGGCAGTGGTGCTACTGGAGGGAGTGGTTGGTGGTGGTTACAAGTTGGTGGTTGGTGGTGGTCACAAATTATTTTGTCGTTTGTGACCATTAAATTGGTTAATCTGTGACCAATAAACAATATGTGACCAATTACAAAGATAAATTGTGACAAAAAAATAATATGTGACCTAAAAATTGTTAATTTGTAACCGATAATTTGATAATTTATGACTGTCTACTAAGTTGTGACTTATAATATTTGTAATTTGTGATCGATAAATAAATTGTAACGTATAAATTTTTTTATTTGTGACCGATAAACAAATTGTAACTTATAAAATTTCTAAATTGTGACCGTAAAATAATTTGAGACCTATAAAATTTCTGATTTGTGACCGATGACAAATTGTGAAATAAAATTTTTGAATTGAAACCGTAAAATAATTTGTGACATTTAAATTTTTTATTTATGACTGATGAACAAATTGTGACCTATAAAATTTTTGAATTATGACCGTAAAATAATTTGTAATTTGTCACAAATTAATAATATGCGATCAATTATATAGAATTTGTGACCAAATTATATGAAATCGTGACCTTAATATATTTAATTAATAAAATATATGTTTAATTAATTTATTTATAAATAAATTTTAAAAAAATCTGAGATTTGAAGTTTTAAACTTTAAAAAAAATCTGAAATTTGAAATTTTAAACATTGTCTCTTAAATTTGAAATGAGTGAAACTTAACTTCTTAGTTATGAAATTTTCCCTTTTTAGATTGGCCTATACCCAAGCTTGCCCCCCTTTTATATCCGTCCTGGGTGAGAGTATGAATTCTTGATTTTGAACGAGATACTCGAGAACGTGGTTGGTTTGAAGAGAGGAAATTTGGCTATTTCCATGTCCTGCCTTATGTTTCTTCTCATTACGGCTCTTCTTTATTATATTGGAATCAATATCGCTATCGTAATCATTAGAATCACACAACGAAGGAAAGTCACACTGTTTCGCATGAACGAAAATTTGTGCAGTGAGATAATGAGGGAAAAAATTGGAATGCTTGGGGGACGAGAGTGGTGGCAACAATTTAATTGAGTGTGAATTGTTATACCGACAAGTCCCATGCTTTTTTCTTAATTGTGTTCAAAATTCTACTTAGTCTAACATGTCAAATATGCCCTTCGCAATTTAGTAGCATTTTTTTTTTTCTTTTTTTCCTTTTTAAACTTTGTGGTAACAATAATCATAAAAAGATCATAATATAATTTAATGAAATAAAAAGCAAATAATAACATTGGATTAGTGTCTGTGTGTACATGAATAACTATATTCTCATTGTTCCTTAGACCCCATTTGTTGTCTTATTTTCGTCCAAAAAAAAATCTTAAAAATTATTTTTTTAAAAAAATTTATTTTCAATCACAATAATTTTATATAAATTCATTAATTAGTGTCTTAGTCTCCTGTTTGATGGCCATTATTTGAGAAAAACATTGTTTTGAATATCGATTTTTACGAAAATGTGTGGTTAAAAAGTAAGAAAAAATCTTAAATTTACGTGTAAAATATTTTATTGCGTGAATGAGTGATTAAAAACGAATATATAAAAAAAAAAAAAAAAAAAGAGTTTTCAAAGTTGTCAAATGCTACATTTTTAACCATATATAAAAAAAGATTAAAATCTTGTCACTAAGAATTTGAGATTCTTCTGTATAAATTATCTATACATCAGGCTAAAATAATAACTTACCAACACTGGTCAGTTTCCCATGTCCGTCTCCGGCGAATATACCCAGACAAGCCACTTTCCGGCAACACGGAATGCTGCAAATCCACCGGAAACCTTCGCCGGAGAAGTGTGCGGTCGTAGCTGGCACGCTTTTCCGGGTGGGAAAGGGTCGAATATGCTATTTGCACTCTCATAAACTCATCGGCAGTTGACTTGTGATTTTCTCGTCCGTTGGATGCGACGTCGGGATGCAAGATTCTTACTAGATTTCTGTACGCAATCTTGATTTCTTGATACGATGCACACATTCGAATCCCAAGGACTTCATACAACGACGTCATTTGCGGCTCAGGGCCGTTGCAACTCCTTTCTCCGGTAACAGAGAGACGAAGTTGGTGGCGGGAATTGACATTACCGGGCGGAGATGGCGTCTTATTGCCAGAGAATTTTGGGCCGATAATTTGTTTTGAGAGAGAAATGGATGTGGAAGCCATGTGAATGCAAGTGTTGGATCAATTGTTGGAAGAAAAATCTGTTATATTGTTAAAGAATGAAGGAATTGGCTTATCCAGTTATAAGATACGATGACTCCTCACCCAGACATAGCTTTTTATAATTTGTTTGACCAATGATTTCAAATAATTAATTGTTATAGAAATACTCTTACTCGCGTTTTAAGGGCCGGCGATTGACAAACAACGTTGTGTAACGGCAACTAACAATGACGTTGTTACAAATTTTAAAATTTTACCACAATATCATATTAAGCCCTTATTTGATCTCCATTTTTATCAAAATACATTTTTTTTCTCTTTCTTTTAAACTACTCATTCTCCAACAAAATAATATTACACGCAAATTCAAAAAATTTCATTATTTTTTAATCACATTCTCCATCAATCTATTATTCCAAAATGTATTCTACACCAAAAATGAGGCTCAAACATATCCTAAATATTATATACGTCATATTAAACATGGTGTAGTATCAAACTATGCACTTCTTTTGAGTCGAGCCTCTCTAACATTATACTTCGAGATGTAGAAAGAATTATAGTTCTCATCCCATCTAAAATTCTAAGAATCCGCTGACAATTAGAATAGATTCATAGATCGAGTGAAATAAAATGACTATTTAATTTACAGATAAAGAGATTGAATCTAATTTTTTATTTACAAGAATGAAATAAAAGTAAATATAAGCAGTCGAGATTGATTACCCAAAATTAGTTTATTAGTCATCATTGACCGGAAGCGGTTCAACTGCATTATGTTTTATGATATATTAACGTAGATGTATTATCATAATGGAAGGTTAACAAAAATTAGTGAATGATTAAGATGATCAAGATACGCTAAGAATTAGTAAACTACCATAATTTAGATATCTAAAACAATCAAAGTAATGGATGATCAATGCCAAATGTCAAATGTTTTTGGTCTAGACTTTAGTTCAATGTGTTAAACCGTTTAACGAACTCATTGTTTGTTTTTAATTATTTTTTTTTAATATTTTTTACCACCTAACTCGTGATTTATTTGTGTGGTGAAGCCAACTAGAAATATGATTGGTTCGAAATATTTAGGTCAAGTTAGATATAGGATAAAATTAATCATGTCCAAACCCTAATACGGATCACTTATCCGGTGTATATTCGACAAGATAATTTCTACTCTACTCTCATCTCTCCACGTGAAATGACTACAACGATTTTGCTAACATCATCTTGCAAAATTCTTTTCAACGCCAGAACTCCATATATAAGGTATTGGTTCTAATTCAACTCATATCTTTGGATTTCTTAATGTTGAATCTCTTTAGAATTTTGGAGATTGAATGTGATCATTCTCATTAATTTGGTGATGATTTACGAAAAGATAAAAGTACATTTACATAAAATTTGGCACCTAAAATGTGCTCGGATAAATTCTCTCTGCGGCCACAAGGACCCAAGGTTGCTCCTCATTAGGGTTTCCTCATTTATTTATTTATTTATTTTGCTTTTCCTATTTTTCAGGATTGGCCGCTGTAGATAGTGGACAATGATGAACCTCAAAGAAAGGTCTAAATCAGATTACAAACAATAAACAATTGCCTACTAATTTGTACAAACAATTTCTCCAAAATCAAGATTGCATCATGCTCCCGTTTGATTTAGCTAAAAAGCAATTTTTTATAGTAAATTTTGATAAGAGTTAATAATTGTGTAATTGAAAATTTGATAAAAGTGGTGAATCTAATGAAAAATGTTATTGAAAATGAATTTTAGAATAAAATAATTTTAGAAAAATGAGAGCCAAACAGGTCTAGGGCTCGTATTGCCATCATTTCACCAAAATCAAACCTCAACACACAAGACTCAAACTCTGTGCGCCAAGAGACCCGAATCACTAAGAAACCAGAGGTTTAAGAAGGAATTCCACACGGAAGAACTCACAGAGAGAACCCCCAAAAGGTGCAGCTAGAGAGAGAGAGAGAGCGAAAAATGGTGGAGAGAGAGAGATAATGGACTGAATGATGAAGTAAACCTAAGGTAGCAGCAATTTATACGATGATCTACAATCATAGATGTAGGAGTGATACAATATCAAATAGTCATTTACACTATCTAAGCGAACACTCTGAAGAAGTCAAAAAATATATGCGAACTCCAAAAAAGCTAAAAGCACTCGTAAGGAAGAAACTTGATAAACGATCTTATATATTTAATGGGAGCCAATATATTTGAACAAAAAATGTAAAAATTAAGCTGCTGAATGAAACATAAACAGACAACACAATCACTTAGAAGTCAATCAATCAATGGCTACCACATGTAGCTAACTAGAAAGACTCATTTACATCCATGGCTTAAATAGGAATCTAGAAAATAAGTATGCCTTGAATGAAGAATGCTACGCTGAATTTGAATAACTTCCTTCCAAATAATCATTTCTATTTTTGCTCCTTATTGAGTACCAGAATTGTGAGTTTAGAAGGCAAAAATACTGACCAGATGAGAAATTTGTTGATCATCATTTAGTGGTCAGCAATCTATCCAAAAGCCTGCATAGATATCACGCAAGGACACCTCTGATATTTTGGAGGCCTTATGCAAACTTCAAATATGAGACCCCTTTAAATAGTAGGCCCCTTTTTATAAAGATTAAAATCATTTTTTTTAGTAGATTTTGTTAAAAGTTGATGGAATGTGTGGTTGAAAAGTTGTAAATCCTATAAAATGTATTATTAAACTAAGAGCCTGTTTGGTATGGATTTTGATTTTCTACAGTAAATCAATTCTCATTTTCAACCACACATTCTTCAATAAAATAATATTTTCCATCACATCAATAATTTTTTCTTCTTTTTCAACCACACATTTCCCATCATATCACTATTCAAAAATCAATTCTTCCCCCAAAAATCCCTACCAAACACACTCTAATTTTGACTTTGACTTAGAAAACAATTAAATACAATTGAAAAAACAATTAAGCATAATCATGAAAATTGAAAGACAAAATACGAGATTTAAACTCCAGTACAAACATATAAAAAATAAAAATAATAAGTGAATCGAAAAAATTCTAAACCAGATTTCATGACACACAGAAACATTAGTGAATTAAAGCATAAATCAATATAATGACAATAAAAAAACTAGAAAAAATGGACAAATAAAACGAAATGCAACAACCTAGAGAGAGAATAATTATCAGTGCCTTTAGCTGCTCCTTAATAAGTGTTTGATCTACCATGAGAGCATTAAAAAAAGTTGTGTCTGTAAATTTTGAAGAAAGAAAAATGACATTTTGTTTCTTATTAAGGAAAAAAAATGATCGAAAAAATAAATTGTCAAATTAATTATATATATAGAAAATAATAGTAGTCCTATAGTTATGTAACCATAAATGTATGTAATAAGTTTTATACACTAATTGATTTTTTTTTCTTTTAGAAATATTTGTATTTTCAAAGATTATTAGTTTCTTATGTTTGCATATAATAGTTCTAATTAAAAGAATTTTGTAATTATAATTTTCATTTTTCTTCAACCAATCAATTAATTTTACATAATTTGAGGCCCTCATCAAAGTGGGCCTTAGGAAATCGCCTACACCGCCTATAGCCAAGGCCGGCCCTGTGATTACATAATTGTGCAACTGATGTAGAATGAGAAAGGAGAAAAAGAGGACGAAGGAAAAGAAGCTGAGGAGAATAAGCCGAGCAGGGGAAGAAAACGTGACAAAACCAAACTCAAATTTTATTCAATCATCAACTGAAATCAACTACAATGAAAACTTAATAAATAGCAGAAAATAACCTAATTTTAAGGATTTGGGCCAACCTGCTAAAACAAGCTCAACAATGCGAAACACAAATAATAAAGTCCAATAACAATAAAATAAATCTCGATGATGTTCACATCAACTCTCCCAGGGTCGAAGAAAACTCGACCATATCGAGTGGATAGGTAGAAAAAGGCTGCAATCAATCGTCCAACCATAAGCTCAGGGATTGGACGAGCTTCCTCCGACGTCGATAAAACCGTGTCAGCGGTGGTCGGAATCTAGTGTCCCCACCAACGTCCCCTGGATGCGTGGAATGAGAACAGGGCAAGCGAAAATCCTGCTGACTTCGATAGAGCTCCAATAAGTCTGGATCAAGCTGTGGTGTCTCTCAAGTAATCCATGTGCAATCAAACTCAGGTCAATCAACCCAACGAACAAGGAAGCGTTGAACATCCCCACCTTTAGTCAACACAATCTGTTCATCTAAAATAGCATCAATTTTATCTTTGTGTGCTGGGACATGTGGCAATAGGTTAGAAGTAGCAAGAGATTCCGAGTCAAGGTCCACAGATGGTGGTAGGAAAGGATCATCAGAGGGATTGAAATGGCCTTTATAAACAACTAAATCCTCAACATTGAAAGTATGGTAGTAGCCAAGATATGGCGGAAGGTCAACAACATAAGCATTTGGGCCAACTTGCTTTAAAATTTTAAACAGCGCTCCGAGCTTGCAATTTAGAGGCGGGTCCATATAGGCGCCACTCTGGTCGACTTCGGATCATGACATAATCCTCAATATTAAAATCAACACGTCTCTTATGTAAATCAGCTCGAAGTTTATAAGATGCATTACTAGTTTCAAGTTGTTTATTGATCTCAATATACAATTCATGAAGATGTTGTGCAAATGCTTCAGCTGACATAGATACTCTATCATGTGGGGACATCGGGATGAGACCTAAAGGCTTCCTAGGCTTAAAACCATGAACAACTTCAAATGGACTCCTACCTAACGAACGATTCATGAAACTGTTATATGCAATTTGAGCTGTATGAAGAATTAAATCCCAATTTCTAAGATTTTCTTGGACCAGACACCTTAGTAAATTGCCAAGACTACGATTACAGTAGAGAATTTTAACTTTGTACTCATTTTGTGCCACAACCTTCTCCAAAAATGACTAGTGAACCTAACATTCCTATCTGCCACGATGGTTTTGGAAAGGCCATACAATTTAACAATCTCATTAAAGTACAATGTGGCAACCCTGGACGCATATGAAGTTTTGCTATAAGGGATAAAATGAGTCATCTTGGAAAAATGATCCACTACCACAAAAATGGAGTCAAGTTTCTTCTGGGTACGTGGAAGCCCTAACACAAAATCCATGCTCACATCTTGCCAAGGGCAATCAGGAACGGGAAGAGGTGTGTAGAGGCCAATGTTTTGACTCTTTTGTTTGGCCAACTGACAGGTGTTACAAGTGCTAACTATCTTGACCACATCTTTCTTCAAACTAGGCCAATAGAATTGACGTTCACTTTCCTCTATGGTCTTATCTCGCCCAAAGTGGCCGGCTAAACTTCCCACATGAATTTCCCAAACTATGAAATCTCGCACCGAAGCTCGAGGGATGCACAATTTATTAGCTCGAAAAAGACAACCCTCCTCAAGGCGAAAACCGTCCACAGTATCCGACTGTCCATTTTGTAAATCAAGAAAGATATCCTTAAAGTCAGGACAAGTTTCGTACTCTTCCTTAAGCTGTTCAAAACCTATGACATTAACGTTCATGATCGACAGAAGGGAGATACGACAACTTAATGCATCAGCCGCCTAGTTTTCAACACCTTTCTTATGTTTCAAAACAAAAGAATAGGCCTGTAAATACTCAACCTAGCTACTGTACCTAGAATTCAATCTCTTCTGGGATGTGAGATAACGGAGGGCCTCATGGTCTGAATAAAGAACAAATTCTTGGGGCAGCAAATAATGATGCCAATATCGCAAAGCCTGCACAATTGCGTACAATTCCTTATCATAAGTTGAGTACCGCTGTTTGGCGTCGTTCAACTTCTCACTGAAACAAGCGACAGGGTGACGTTCCTGACTAAGGACTCCCCCGATGCCGACCCCGGAGGCATCACACTCAACTTCAAAAACCTTGGTGAAGTCAGGAAGGCGCATGTCAGGAGCTTCCGTCATTCGTTTCTTAACTAGTTAAAAGCCTTAGTCGCTTCATGGGTCCAATGAAACTCCCCCTTCTTCATACACTCCGTAATTGGAGCCATGATTGTGCTAAACCCTTTGATGAAACGACGGATAAAAGGTTGCTAGGCCATGAAAACTCCTGACATCATGCAAAGTCTTAGGCTCAGGCCGATCAACAATCGCTTGAATTTTGGCAGGATCGGCAGATACCCTCATAGATGATATAATGAAACCTAAGAAGACGACGATGTCGGTGAAGAACGAACATTTCTTGACATTAGAATACAATTTTGTTACCCGAAGGGTAGAACAAACTTGCTGGAGATGATCTCGATGTTGTTCCTTCGTTGTACTATAGACGAGAATGTCATCAAAGTAGACGACAAGGAACTTACCCATGAAAGGACAAAGAGTCTGTGTCATTGCTCGCATAAAAGTGCTCGGAGCGTCAGTTAAGCCAAAAGGCATAACTAACCACTCATAAAGACCATCTTTTGTTTTAAAAGTGGTCTTCCATTCATCACCTGAGCGGATCCTAATATGGTGATACCCACTCTTCAAATCAATTTTAGAAAATATCGTAGCACCAACCATCATATCCAACATGTCATCAAGCCTAGGAATAGGAAAGTGATACTTTACCGTGATCCTATTGATGGCACAACTATCTACGCACATCCTCCAAGAGCCATTTTTCTTAGGGGTCAACAGCGCCGGCACGGCACAAGGACTTAAACTCTCATGGATGAATCATTTGTGAAGGAGTTCATCCACTTGCCTCTTTAGTTCAGCGTGTTCAGTAAGATTCATCCTATAATAGGCAAATTTGGAAGCGACGCTCTCGGGACTAAGTCTATGGCATGTTGCATGTCCCGTAAAAGAGGTAGTTCGTCAGGTAAGTCCTCGGGGAACACATCCTGGAACTCTTGAATGATCGTCTGGGCTTCAGGAGGGGCTACAGATGGGGAACTAGATGAGACTTCTAAGACCACAAAGGCAAACACAACCGAATTGCCCACAAGTGTGCGTTCGAACTCCGTAGGATTAATGATGTGTAATTCCTTTCGTTCCGCACTTTTCTTTGTTTCATGTAAGCCAACATGTCTTGGTGGAAAAGGGTTAATGTGGATCTTCTTACCATTAAATATGAACGAGCATGAATTTGATCGACCATAAATGGTTACATCTAAATCGAACAACCAAGGCCGACCAAGAATGATGTGACCGACATCCATGGGAATGACGTCACACCATATATGATCCTTATACTCGAGAAACTGAATAGGCACCAGACAACGTTCATTTACAGTTATCGAGGAAGTATCAACCCAATAGACGCTATATGGCTGAGGGTGAGGTACGAATTGCAACCCCAGACCCGCTACAGTAGTCATCGACACCGCATTAATGCAACTACCACTATCCACTATGACTTTACATCCTTTATTATTGATCTTGCTGTAAGTGTGGAAAATGGCATAACGTCGCCAATCGTCAGCATTTTTGGGCTGAGTCAGGATACAACGTACAACACCCAATCTCGACGTGTTTAGGATAAGTAGCCTTGACTCTAACTCCACCGGAAGGGTTCGAATACAACCTAAGAAGGTATCTTCATTATCATCCAAGTCCTCAAACTCTTCAAACTTAGGTTTGTAAACTTGATCCTCCAATACACCATCCTCTCTACTCTCATGTTCTTCCAGAACTAGGGCTCGACTCAGACAGTTAGAAGAAATGTGATCGAAACCCTTACAATTAAAACATTGCAAGCGGAATGACGTCCTTTGAATTTCTGGACCCCTACCTTTATTTTTTCCTACAAGAGGACCCTTAGATGGAGAAGGCCCTAAGATAGATTTTTGGGGCACAGTGGGCGCTGTAGAACTGGGTGCTGAAGAAACAGGGGTACGATTGTCACCACGACTTCTAAACGGAGTCCTAATAACTAACTCATAATATCAGACAAAAACATAGGCATGGTCAAGAGTAGCAACACCCCGAAGGACAAGCTCACGTTTAAGATCATCTCTGAGGCCTTGCCGAAACCTGTTTAAGGTCATGGCTTCATCCTCAACGACCTGACATCTCATTCTAAATTCATCAAACTAAATGACGTACTCAGTCACTGGTCCGGTGCCTTGCGTGAGGGCATTCCATTGATCCAACAAATGACCCTTATACGATTGAGGTAAATACTTCTCTTGAAGGCGACGCTTCATTTCATCCCAACTCCCAACAGAAGGAGCATGACAACGCTCCAAGAGTTCCTCAACACTTTCCCAAAAGAGTTGAGCGGTGCCAGTTAGCTTCAGACTAGCAAACTGAACTCTCCGGTCTTCTGGGACTCCATACCAAGCGAAGAA